ATAGTAATTAAGGCTATATACTCCCAACCATAAAATCTTGATCAAATGGTTGAGAAATGCATGTTTCTCTTTCCATTTTATTTTTAATCTACAAATCGGATTAAGCTGAAATTTTAGGCCTATGTACTTGACAACATCACACACCATGGAAATATAAAATAAGTATTTTCAAAAAAATAAAATGACCAAAAGACCCCAGACAAACCAGGGAAATATTTGTTTTCTATTACTTTTGTGCGCCATAATATGAAGCACTAGATGGAAGCATAACCTAAATTACTATTCATTTTAGGTGTCAACCTATTGGTAGCTTTTTCCTAGGAAAAAGAGTTTAGGGTTTGTCTACAAAGAGACCATTTCTCTTGATCAGGACATTGTCTTCCATTATAGGAATTGTCTACAAAGAGACCATTTATCTTTTGTACATAGAGGTCATAATCATTCTTGTCCCTTAAATTTCAAAATGGGTTGTTGTAAAAGTGTCATTGAATAGAGACAAAGTTCCAAAAAAAAACTCGGACTTCGTGACTTATCGAAAGCCATCCAATTTGACATCTAATAAATGATAATGATTGTGATCCATGTACAAAAGATAAATTGTCTCTTTGTAGTAATGATCCTAAGAGACCCTCCCATACCCATGTGTGTAGGACCCCAAAAGATCACCATTAAATTTGACACAGATCTCTAGAAAAGTTATCACATGGGTGTGGGACTTGACTTTTTTAGAGATCTGTGCCAAATTTAATGGTGATCCTATTGGGTCCTACACACATGGGTATGGGAGGGTCTTACAATGTCATTTCCCATATATATATATAGAACTAGAAGGCCGGAAGAGAAACATGGAATAGTTTCTGGCTTAAAAATCCAAATCACACACAATAAACTAGTCTCAGATGTATCACTATACATGCAGCATAGATAATCACACCTCATAAGAAAAGAAAAGTGTATCTACAGCTTCAGTAGAAAAAGCAAGCCTTGATTTACGGGGAACTTTTATTTTATAAAGACATGCCTCTCATAATGTAAGTCTCAAATGAACTCCATATTCTTCAAACTTAGTTTTCTATGTTCATGCATCTATCTTTTTTCTCTTTTATTTTGTTGCTAAGTTACATTCACGAATCAAACTACTGCTCGTTTCACATTCTAATTCATCATGCAAAGAATACTATTTGGTAAGAACAATAACTCAACATGATTCAACATGACAGTACACAACAAACCTCGATCATGTGCAATATCCATAGTGTTCCAATACCCAGCTTCCCACCAGAAGAACTTAGTTACATATACAAGCATCAGTATAGTATTTACAAGCATGGAGTCCACTACTTGACCATTTGCTTCATACTGCAGTCATGAAATAGACGAAGTTAATAGACATAATGGAAGACAATGTCCTGATCAAGAGACAAAGATTAAGGAAATAAAGAATGCGGTGTAATGAAAAGTAAATCACTAAATTACATAAAGATCCCCTATATATGAACAGTAAAATCACTCTTTTCTTTTCACAAACTCTTATATCAGAAAAAAGACGCCCTCCAGTATAGTTCCTAAACAATGTTTGGTGTCAAAGTACATGAGTGCATCCCATGAGTGCTTCAGACTGCCAAAGGTTAAAAACAATAAAAGAAGAAATAAAAATTCACATCCATTTACAGGTGGGTATAGGTCTGCACAGTGACCAACCTGCTTGATGCAATATGTCACAGCAAGAACTGCCCATGACATCATACCAAATCGGCAGTTCGTGAAAACTTTGATGTCGAAGCTTTTACCAATTCTAGGATACAGTTCCATGCCCTGCGCATGCAAACATGATAATCATACAGCAAAGGACTATATATAATTTCTATGTTACACTGGAAGATAACAGAAAGACGAAATTTTGTTTGAGTGAGATCACGTTGATACATATTTTTTGGAACATATATTATGACAACACCTTGCTCCAGCATTGAACAAAACTTGCTTAAGAATTTTAGAGTCCCACGCAAAAGAAACTCACCCAAAGCGAGCCCAGTTATTGGGCCTTGCAGCAATACAATTATATACAGTTATCATTTCAAAAATAAATATATAGAAGACTCACCCAATAGAAATCGATTATTATGTTCCCCGATGAACCTGAATCACTTGAAGATGGTGCCACATGCCCCTTTAAAGCACATATAGTTGCTCTTAAATACAAGAAAAGGAATGCATTTAACTGTATTTGAAACTGAGCATGGATGAGGTCAATTGAGCTTTCTTACTTTTATGTACAGTAAAATGCAAAAGAAGAAGCTGCCAATGATTAGTGCTGAGAAAATTTCTCCCAAATGATCATACACAATGGCAGGATTAAATATTCCCAACCTGCATAACAAATATAAGAGCTACAAAGGTTGCCAAAATGAGGAAAATTCCATGAACAGCAAATAACTGCAACAGTAGCTTGCACATCAAACATAGGATTTTCTTTTTATGCTTTCCTGGTAAATATTCAAAATCTTCCGGTTTAAGACAGCAGTTGCAACTTTTGCATGCTAAGGAAATGTTAGGGAATCACAGAGTCATAGATGACTCAAAAGCAAAACCTTTGAGAATAATATTATACGCCACATTTAATTGAGAAGTATGCTAAATGCCAAAAACAAACATAACCCAAGCAATATAGAACATTGCCCCTAGGTATGATAATGAATAAAAGTTGAATCAGAAGTGACATTTTATCAAAAGCGCCAGCAAAAATAGAGACAGGAACGTTGAAAATAGTAGAGAGAACAGGATTTAGCAAAACAAAAGCTTGGATTATATATCAACACATCAGCACATTTCATCAACACACAAACACAAATTATGAAAGTAGAAATTCGTTTTTGATGAGTACTTCTAAAGGACAAATTATTGAAGTATAAAGCATATTTCAATTTTTTATTTGGAGACAGTTAAATTACAAATTTACATTAGCCATAAAGAAAAGCAAAGGAACCAACCACCAAATGCTGATATATGTTATCAATGTGACCGCATAAGCCAGCAAACCGTTTGCCTGTGAGAATAGAAAAACAGCTATATTACTTCATCAACCATTCTCACCTCAATTATTGTATCATATTGATCATATGAACACTATGCAGATGCTTTATTTCATTGGGTGTTAGGAACATTGGTCACACATCATTCCAAGAGAAAAAAGATTCTCAGTAGTTCTATAAAAGGGGGGGGGGGGGGGGGGGGGTAAAGGCATATCTCAATAGGTTGAGTAAACAACGGTGCCGAATAAGAGACCTTGTAGACAGGTCGGTTCCCAGCAGGAGAAATGGGACCTTCAACTCTTTCGCCAGGAAGAACTAGTTGAAGCATTGCTTCAAATGCACCAAAACAAGCAATAATTTTCCATGCTATAGGTGATGGTCTTGGCCAGATATTAATGAGTCCTTGCAAACCATTTTGCTTCAAGTAGTCCCAAGTGATGGATACAGACCCATCACCATGGACCATTGTGTACCATCTGCAACATTACCAAATAATAATAATAATAATAATAAATAAATAAACATAAAAAAGAAAGACATAATATGATGAAATCTAAGTTAGGCTCATATATCAAAAGGAACTAGAGATCGAGAAAAAAAGGTGAAATATAATTGGCGACACGACTACTATTTCTGTCAAATAATTTGTATGCACACCACTATTATTGCGGGCAAATAATTCATATGCAAATCATTTCTCTAACTTTCTCTTCTTAACAAGTAAAAAAAACATATCATATACTTATCCAGATTGTTCAAGCCAAGCTTACACTTTGCCTGGAAGAGATCAAGAAGTATTTGACTTGAAACAGCAGATAGAAGCATGACAAATAACAAAATTCAAGCAGGAAATTCGCTTAAATCTACTGAAAATTTGTTACATCGTTGCAACCACAGTAAAAATATCAGTCTTTCAGCATCCAACTTTACTCAAGCAAACTTAATTCCATGACCTATTTTTTAAATTTTAAAATTTAAAATAAAAATGCTCATTCATTTGACCTCAGGAGAGATTGGTTATTGAATTGATTTGAAAATATAATAACATTTACCACAAATTAAGCAATATAACTATTTATTAAAATAAAATACGACATCTAGGCGTCCATCAAAGTATTGTAACTAGCTATTACTATAGCTCAAGCGCCATTCCAATCGCAGGATCGATCCGTAACTCTAATCCCATACCCTGATTTCTGCAGTTTTTTACTCTTTTATAGCCCAGGATGATCTACATTTCCAAAAAATAAGTTTTTTTTGTCCAAATTAAAGGCCATCTAATCCAAATAAGGCATAAATATGCTGAATCTCAAGTCCTTAAATCCGTTGTGAGAGAGCAAAATTGTTCCTTTTGGTTTATATTAATGCAGGTTTTCAGAGAGAGAGAGCAAAATTGTTCCATTTGGTTTATATTACAGGAGGTTTTCCAAGAACCAAATCCGTTTAGGCTGATCTGACTATTACCCGAAGAGCAACTGAAGCTTACTATCGCAATTAAAGAAAAAATGAGAACAAATTCAAATTAAAAAAAGCCAGAAAAATGGAAATAACGCTAGAGAGAGAAAGCAATCAGATTCGAACACCTAGTTCCAAAAATCAGATAAATCAATTAACGCAGAATACATCATAAATTATACAAGCGTTTTAAAGCTACAGAGAACGCAGGTTAGCTAGAGAGAGAATATAGTTAGAGAGAGAGAACCTACATGAAAATCACAAAGGGAGGGCAAAGGGTGAGGAGAGAGATCATTGAAAAATAGGTTACGAGGGGAGAATGAGCCGTCTTAGATTCCGCCATTGCTCCTACGCTCTCTCCTCTCTCTCTCTGAAACTCTCCCTCTCTCTCTGCCTAACGGAGAACAAGTGAATCAGAGGTGGAGGGGAGAGATTTTTGTTACGCATAGCCCAAAAAAAAATAGAATTATTTACTTATATGAGATCGGGGGGAAATTTTTTTAGTGAATTAGCCTATCATTTTGCAATAAATATCGAAAATGGCTTCCAAACATCGTAGCATTGACAGGGAATTTTTGGGGAGCCGAATAATTATGGAGGACATTAAGACAAAATTACTGGAAAAACCCCAATAGCACACTTTCTGTGCAACTTACCCCAACCCGAATTTCTCTCAAACTTTTTTCCTCGTAAGAAACTTGTTATGTAAATACCCCTAAGGTAAAAACTTTAATTTTTTCTAGACATAAATGTTTTTGTTGTACACAAAAAACAAAAAACTTGTTATGTAAATACCCTTAAGGTAAAAACTTTAATTTTTTCTAAACAGAAATGCTTTTGTTGTACACAAAAAACAAAAATTATTTTGGCCAGATTTGACATTGACTTTTGGACCCTAGTAATCGAAATGCACCATCACATTGCCAGAGCACACAAGTACCGGACCGCTTTAAGGTAATTTTCGAACCGACTGTCGGACCGCTCTTTACATAGTACCAAAGTACTGAAATCCATTAACATCTACTGCCGGACACCTTTTACAGTTCTTTGCAACTGTCGAACTGGAATTTTACACAATGTTGGAGCCCTACTGCTGGACCGCACTTTACGAAGTAGAAGAATCCAGTAATATCTACTGCCGAACCACCCTTTGCAACTGTCGAACCGTCTTTTGCAACTGTCGGACCAACACTTTACACAATGCTGGAGCCCTATTGCCGAACCGCACTTTACATAGTGTGGGAGCCTACTGCCAGACCGCGTGCCCGGAGCCCCTATTTTGGTGGGATAGAGGAAAGAGAGGCATCGGTAAAATAAAAGTAAGAGAGGGTAATTTAGGTTTTTTTTATTTGGTTGAGAGTATTCGCATAAAAAGTGTATTTTGGAGAAAAAAGTGAACGAAAAGTTAGGTTGCTGGTATTTGCATAGAAAGTGTAGTCGTGGGTTTTTGTGATTTTCCCAAAATTAAGTGCAAGTCAGGTTTCTTTGTTAGTAGGATAGGTTAATTTTTATAGAGCCATCCCCTAAAAGAACCGGACATGATAATTTTTCATCATCTATCTCAAGCAACAAAAGAATCAAATGAAATGGTAAAATAAAATCATAGATATCCACCACATCACATATATATAGACTTTATGTAAGAAGAGATTTCCCGGATTTAATTATACTTCCCCTCATTTTTGGGTAAATAAGATGTGGTTTCTACTGGGACAAGTCCCCATATGTAGAAATGGGGGCCTCTTAATAAATCTATTTTCTAAGGACATGTAATCTCTACCATGGAGATCATTATGAAAAAATTGTTGGGTTTATGTGGCCTTGAAAGGCCTTATGAGTTTGTAATGAAAAACATTTACAGTGGGTCATAAACTTAGTGGGAGTGTGGTCCTTCGAAGACCATAATAAGCAAATGATATTTGTGGATACCAGATTGTGCTTGACGATCTAGGCCAGTCGGTTGGAAAATCCAAGGTACCTGAGCATAAAAAATAAACCGAGAAGGGTTTTTGGGTTAGCCCTTGATGAGGTCGAAGCTTATGCCTAGATGAGTGAGTTGAGGGATTGTGTGACCCTTGTTTGTGATGGTAGGCTTACAGAGATGGGGGGCAAAACATCATCCGTGTTTCATCACACGACATGTATATAGATAGATCGTTCGGGAAAACTAGAATTCTACCTTTGGGTGAAGAATATGCATGTGCGAGAGATACCCCTATACGTCACAGAGCTATGGTCGTATCAGGTCGTGGTGACCTTGACTTGTCTCTAGAGGAGGACCTGTAATCCACAGACTGGGATTGCGACTCCTTAACTCATCGACCAGACTTTGATGACCCGCTAATAAGCCCATGCTTGGACTGTGGGTCATGAAAAACACTGGGTCGGTTCGATAAAGCGAGTGTGGTCTGTAGTCCACAGTTGAAAGTGGAGTATCCCGTGATTGTTGATTGAATTCCTGAACCATATGGATCCACTTCCCATCATATTAATTTAATTGTATTCATTTTATTATTAAATTATTTTAGATTAATTATTTGAATTTTTATAAGTCATTTGATATTTTATTTCTTATTTTTGAACTTATAAAAATGAAGTTATTAATTTACAAAGTTATAACGTTTTAAAATTCATTTTGTTTAATTTTAAAATATTTATGTAAAAAAAATTCATGGGGGTCCATAGTGCACATGGGCCCACCATGTGGCTATTAGGTGGGGCCCCACATACCATACATGGGTGGCACGCCCCACCCTTGGATATCTTCTCTTGTTGCTTTGTCTTCAAGTTTAGTAAATATGGTAACTATATCTTGTAGCAGTATGGTCAAATATTGATTAGAAAATATTGACCATATCTTATCTTGATTATTGAAGGAATATCTTGACTTGATATTATTGAAATATTCTTTTGGAAAATATGAGATGGAATATGCAATTTATGGTATGCACTATATCCTTAATGGATTTAATTTATTTAAATATATTGGTGGGAAAATGGTTTGAGGAAAGAGGGATAATGGTTCATGCACCTTCTATAATGTTGATGGCCCATTTATAGAATGGATGGCTCAGATCTCTCGCCCCACAAGTCACAAGTCACCTTGATCAACGGTTCATATTCAATCTCAAAAAAGAGACAAACTATGGGAAACCCTAAAGAAACCCTAGACCTAAATTTCACTATAAATACGGGTGCTCTCTCCCACCTCTATACACCTCTCTCTCTCTTCCCTAGGTGCCATGCCCCTCTCTCTACTCTCTTATCCTCTAATCTAAGGGTTGGGAATATATAGAGACTCTCTCTCTCTCATAATCTAATCTAAGGGTTGGGAAAATTAGGGTTTGAGCCTAATTTTGGAGTTGGGGTTTTGTAGAGATTTAATGGTGGTTACCTAGTTTGGCCGAAATGAGCTTTTCCGGTTCGAGATTGAAGCTAGACCGCTGATCCCATACCATTGGATGTGGTGACTCGGTGTTCAGCGTAAAAACCCCGGTTGAGGTAATCTCTGGCATCTTTTCTTTTAATTGTTTGTTCTTTTATTATATATTCTTATGCACAGTATTAGGTTGTATGAATTGCATCAAGTAGTTGAGATTTATTTTATTGATGTGTTATTTATTTTTGGAATTTCTATTGTTTGTAATAAGACCATCTGTGAGTGATCTTGTTGTCAAAATTATAAGGGGTGATTATTATTATAAAAAAAAAAATTGTATTTCCCCGGCAAAAGAGTACATAGATCTTTCTTTTAAAAATAAATAAATTTTAAAAACTCAAAATAATAAATATAGCAAGAAAACATTTGGCCAGATAGTTTCCATTGTTTTTAGATGAAACACCTGCTTGTAACCATCTTTAAGATGGATGCTTTACATTTTCTGAACCACATATGTAGAAATGTGATCTTGCCTGCATGAAACAATTTTCCATAAGATGTGGTGTCTAGTACTTGAGAGGTAAGGTTAAGAACAATTGTTGAGGCTGGACCACATTTATACAATATGCGGTCCAGAGGTATAAAGCATCCATTTTAAAGATGGATGCAAATAGGTCGTTTATCTAAAAATAATTAACTAACAGTCTAAATGTTTTTTTAATATAATTATTATTTATAATTTTTAAAATTTATTTATTTTTCATATTCATGATCTCATTCTAAAAATTATATATTCGATCAAATTTTATTTGAAAAATATATTTATTGCCAAGTCTGCAGTTTTATGTGCGGGATTGGGCACATGCTAACTGCATCCATTAGGATAAGGAAGATAGTTTGATAGGGCTGTAGCCCTATCAAAATAAATAAAGCCTCACTTTATAACTAATTGAAAATTGCGATTCAAGCATTTAAAAACCTTTATATCGATCATCTTGGCTTGAAATTTATATTTATGAAAAAAATAATATTTAAAATTTTAAAAATAGTGTATATTGTAACAAATTATCTAGGCCATCAATTTCTTTCTAAAAATAAGTGTTCATAGATTTGCAAGATTTATACTATTTTTTGAGTTTCAAATGTTGAAAACTGATTTTAAAGCCATCATGGAGATTTTTTTTTACCAAAAGTGCTTTCCAGACAAGGATTTGAGGTGAAGCTTTATTTTATTTTCATAGAGCCTAGGCCTTATAAAAAACTTCATCCCCATAAGATAATACTCTAAAAATAGTGTATATTGTAACAAATTATCTTGACCGTTTATTTTGCTTTAAAAATTAATGTTCACATATTCATAAGATTTATAATTTTTTTTAGTTTCAAATTTCATTGTCAATGTTGAAAATTAAATTTAAAGCTATAATAGATATTTCAGTTGTTGGAAGTACTTTCCGAAGGAGAATACGAGGTGATGCTTAATTTCGTTTTCATAGAGCCTATGCCTCATAAAAACCTCATCCTGTAAATAATTTTTAACATTCTCCAGATTCACGGGAGAATTGTAAATCGAAATCGGGAATTGCCAAACCGGCTTACTGACCCACACGGTATGAGTTTTTAACACTTGAGGAAATAAAAGAAAAAATAAAAAGTAGCTACGTTGATGGATACGGAGTAAAAAGGAAAATACTAAGAAAAGCAATGCCTCTTTTGAACGTTCAGAAAAAACAAAAAAAATGGAAAAACCAAGCCACTTTTCTCTTAGAACATAGAAATAGTGGCGTGGTCTTCATGAAGACCACAACGTTTCGACATACTTTTTAAGTCAACTAAACACTCATAAGAAAAACATTCGCAGAGAGAGAGAGAGAGAAGGAGAAGCCATAACTAAATATAAAAAGTTGAACAAAAATAGGACTGGCAATGGGCCGGGCTGCCCCACGCGACCTGGTGGGCATGGCCCCCAAAAAATTAGGATATGGGCCACAAATTGTGACCTTATGGCCGCGTCGGGCCAGTGCCATCCCGGCTCGGCCCTCATTATTTCTTTTTTTTTTTTTTTTTTCTTTTGTTTTTTTGGCCTGGACAACCCAGCCTAACCTTGTATGGCTGGCCCAAGCTTGAGTTAGCCCTACGGGACAAGGGCAGGGCCAGGGCTGGCCCGGCCCATTGCCACCCTTAAACAAAAAAATCAAAGATAGAGTTGCATATGTCAACTAACCTGCCCCATGTATAGAAATTGAGCATCAAGGTAACGTCATCAATCACATAGAAACTAACATCGTCAAGCACTACAACAGTAGAAGACTAATAATGGAGAAGCCTGTCAAAATACACCTAAAAATTGAAGCGTTTGATATTTTTACCTAGGTGAAATTTGTTAATTTTCACTGCCCATTTTGATATCATTTAATGAGCACATGAAATTCGATCACTTATAGCGCTACGCGCTAAATATGGTGTGATAGTGCAAGTTACACGGGGAGAGGTCGAGGAGGGAGTGGAAAGGGATTTACGCTAATAAGGAGGTTGTAGTTAGGAATTTGAGGTGAGAGATTGATAGGAGTTCTTTTGTAGATTTTTGGTACCATAAATGTGGCTTGGTCCAAATATTCTAAAAGTGCAATGCATGGAGTTGTTTGAAAAAACAATACATCATTATGTAAAATTGAAAGATGATAATTTGTGGTCTGGGCTTGGATATTCGATTTTCTTATAATAGAGTGTCAGACTCTATGCTCACCTAGTTTTGTTCTTTATTGGTTGATTTATCTTCGGTTTATATTTCACCCAATCATAATGATAAGGCTGTTTGGGAGCTATGCAATAGTGAGAGTTTTTGGTGAAGTCGGCATATATGCTGTTTTTTCATAATAGATTTAAATGGGAGCAGCCAAATTCTTAATTCTATTTGAAAGTGGTGGGTCTCACACAAAGTTCAATTCTTTTTATGGACTTTGTCACAAACTAAAGGATTGATGATAGATACTTTGAGAAAGAGAGGCAAACTTATTGTCAATTGTTGTATCCTTTGCAAAGAGGATGGGAAGACGAGAGATCATATGTTCCTATATTACCGTGTTACTTTGTCCTTATGGACCCTAAACTACACACTCACTTCATAAACCGTCTTGATATTCCTTTGATCCCACAATTAGGTGTCTTGATTTAGCTAATGTTGAGAGCATCGACTTTATGGGAAGTATGGCTTGAGAGGAACAGGCGGATTTTTTATGGAAGAGGTTTAAAGCTTGCCAATAATAAAGAGAAGATTATCTACAATGTTTGGTTTTGGCAATCCAATTCAAAAGAAGGTCTTGGTATATCTTTGATTGATATACGCCTTAATTTGATGAACCTTATGCTTCAGCAGCTTCACCGATCTACTGTACGTAGAGTTTGGTATCCTCCATTCAATGGTAGTGTTAAACTAATTTTTGATGGAAGCTCTTACGGGAATCCAAGTCCAGTAGGTTATGGTGGTGTTGTCTGCGACCCATAGGGTTAGGAGTTGCAGTTTTTTTATGGCCCGTGTGGGTCAATTACTGCCAATGAAGTTGAGAAGATGGCAGTTCTGCTAGGGATAAATTTATTGAGAGTGCATTTTCCGATTATGGGCATAAAAGTCGAAGGGGATTCCTTAAATATCAGTAATTGGTGTTTTGGAGTTTATAAGCTACCATGGAGATTGATGAGGTCTTTATGGAGATTGATGAAGTCTTTATTGGAAGTGAAGGACTTGTGTCCAAATCAGATGGTTGCTTTCAAACATGTATATAGGGAGGCTAATGAGAGAGCATATTTTGATAAGGAAGGGATGCATAGTTATTATATTTTCGTTTCTCCTTTGCCTTTGTAACCCTCATGTTGTTCTCCTTTGATTAATAAATTTCGTGCTCTTGTCAAAAAAAATAAATAAATAAAATAAAATGATCACTATAATTAAATTAGATCAAAAGATAAAATAAGATGTTAAATAGTTCAAATCTCATGTATAATTTAATAAATTTCTCTTAAATATATGAAAAGGTTTTTTGAAAAGGGTTGTATAACCCTTTAAAGTAACATGACGGACGAAGATTCATATAGCCGATCTCAATTAGTTAGAAAGAGACTTTGATGATGATAATAATGCATGAAAAGGATTACATATCAAGGTCTAGCGAAAAAACTCCCCATACCCCTTGCACATGCAATTTCCATGTGTATGGAACTCTTTAGATGACCCCTTGCACATGCAATTTCCATGTGTATGGAGCTCTTAGATGAAGATCGGTCAGCTAATGGCGAGGTACCAACAATGTTACAAACTAGCACAACCCGTTTTTGTCAAGCTAAAGTTAATGTATAAACGACTGGAGGTCCCCAAACACAAATAAATTACATATATGTACATAAACCAATATGAAACTCACCCTTTAAGCCTTTCCACAAAGCAAGAAACATAACTTTCTAGGCTTACATAATTTGTATACACGAGTAATGTGCTCACACAAAATGCAAGAATTTTTAAAGATGTTTTAGTGTATTTTGCTACAAGGTTATATATAATGAGACTATTACTATTACTCCTAATTCATTAGATGTCAAATTAGATGGTTTGAGGTGTACACAAAATTCGGAAAAAAAAAATTTTGACCTTTGAATCTAATAAATGATGCACTCAACTATTTAATTTGAAATCTGACAGACAAAAGTGATTGTGACCTTGTATCAAATAATAGATGATCTCGTTCTGTAATTTTTGTTTTGGTATAAAGCATTGGAATGAAAAAACTAATATACTTCCATATCAAGATGCATGAAAATATAAACATGCACACATGCATGCCTACAGATGTCTCCATGTAGGGAGGTATAAGATAGACAAAGCAAAAGAAGACCCCAGCTAAATATTTCATTGGGAATTCTAATACCATCAAGGCATCATCATCAGAAGATACATCTACATAGATCACTTGTATGAGCTTTATTAGCTGTGTTTATAATTTGTGAACTGAAAAAGAAACTTCGCACTCATCATCATATTTTCTCCCTTCTTTCAAGATCAACACTGAAAAAACAATTCAAAATAAGAAAATTTGACAGAATTTCTTGCCCAAACACTATATTCACTAACTCTTTTGGCCATTGTTGAGGATGTCGACTAATCCGGGTTGTGAAAGCCAGGTAGAAGGGAACTGAGAAAGCCAACAACAACCAATTGAATCTCTCTCAAAATTCCCCACAGGTTGAGGCCACCTTCTGCGACACCCACATTCTGTTGAGCTTGGTTCCCATTATTATCTGCATTGTTCTCTGCATAAATACCAGTGAGCAGATGCACATTCATCAAATGAATATTGTGAAACAAATTACAACAACTAGATCTAAGGATCAAAGAAAATAGTCATTGAACTTATTTCACCTTTTAGGTTCTTTCATTCAGTACGAAAGAATCCATGTTTTCTTAAAAAGTACTCGAAGCAATTCACATAAAGAAACACTCCAATTTACTTCTAAAATTTTATAAATGGAAAAGAGAGGGCTCAAAATATAGCTTCTTCAAGCTGAGGCATCCTAATTTCTCGAAGAACATGCATGGATGCTAAATGATTGAGATATCTATAATATTAAAAGCTATTAAACACAGGCCAAAGTTTTCCATATTTAAGAAATTTGACCAAAAAAAAGGTCTTAAGATATGATATATTATATGGATTCTTGCATGTCTCATAGAAGGATTTGTTCCCAAGGGAAGGGAACCCACTCCTCAACCTATTATCTTTCATCTCCTCCTTCCACCTGGCATCATCTCTCACCAAGATCACCACTGACTTTGGGGATGGACGCTGATCTCTGTCTTTTACCCGAGGAGGGGTGAGTAAAATCAAATAAAAGTACTAACCATGATCATGGCTTATCCTGCTTAGCAAAAGTAATCATTATTTCTCTGAGAAATCTCAAAGTCTTAGTAATTGTATTTCTGTTAGTCGATTATTAACGGGTTCAAATAAAAACCACTCTGGTTAAGATGAACTCTGCAGCAAACACCTCAGAACGCAGCGTCAACCTTGGAAAACTTTACAGAAAACCTCCACATTCTACTTTATGCATGACTATTTGATATCCATTTCAGTATCACAACAATTTTACACACAATCAACACCAACGACATACCCTGCCCCCACCCCCCTCCCCCCTCCTCTCTCTCCCACCCCCCAAAAAACACATACACATAGAGTGCCCTCTCATCATTCTGTAAAAGGAACATATCCAGGTACCTTGTCCAGGTGCATGCTCACCATCTGGCCTTGGAACAGGGGGCTGAGGTGGAACTGCACCAGGCCTTGGTACACCTCGTTGAAGCCATCTTATAAGTGGCGTTAGAGCTCCAGTCTGATACCTGAAAATTGCCATACAAAAGGATTAATGAAATTCGTGTGCATGTATGTGTAATTTCATATATTGCAAACCTACAATGGTGAGGGGGGGGGGAAGTAATAAAAAAACCCTAAGAAATAAACTATTCAACATTCTGCCCATTTGTAACTACTCCAAATAAAGCAGGTGCATTTCTAAGGGTATTTTGAAATTAAATCAAAAGATATGGGCAAGGTGTTAAAATTGCTCGTTGCTCATGGGCAATATGATAAGATTCCCCAAAAAAAAAAAAAAATAAGTGCTCTACATCTGTCAACAAGATATGTCCCCAACGATTTCTTGCAAATACAAATTTCAGGCAGGGCAATTTCCTTTAAAGATGGGGCAACATTAAGCATGTAAAGGCACACCGTGACTTTCCCTAAATGTCAGCTTTGCTCCAGATTATTTCATCTTTGCCATCAGTAAATGAGGACAAACATCCCTACCCAAAAACGATACATAGGTAGGGAGGTTTTTTATCAAGAAATGTGGAGCATCCTTTACAAAGTTTACCATTTTAGGGGTGCAAAATAGAAAATCAGTTGTGAAAAATAGAATATGAACAAATGTAGAGGACAAACATCCTTTACATGTGCGTGTATGTATGCATGTATGGACACTATAGTTATAAATACTTGTAAAGTGTGTATGCAAGGTACTCGAGATGTGTCATTAAGAATCTTACAAATACACAAATGAAGCGAAAAGAAGGAGAAGGAAGAGTCTCTCTCTAGAACCATCCTGATTGAACACAAATACCACAGCTGCGAGCTTCAGTATGAGGAACAAATCAAGCTGAAACCCAAACTGAAATCGCCTCACAACCACTTGTCTTTGCTGTGGGTTTTGACGTTGCCTTCCTCGTACAGCCTGTTCCGCACCTCCTCCTCCTGCTGCAGCCGTAGCATGAACTGTATTTTGCCTCCTGAAGGTGGTCAGATATCCATTATCAGGCACAGAAGTTTTCACCAAGAGGAGTTTGTCAAATATAGCAGGGAGGATAACAAGAAATAATAGAGTTTTTATGCTATATCCTAGTTTTTTTAAGGAGATAGACTATTAGACAGTGTTACCCCAGCACTCCATTCTTGGGAATGTGTCACATGTCAAGACATCTAGGCACGGCTTGTCAATAAAAATTCATATAAAGCTCAAACCTGAGCTTAAATTCAGGACCTCTTGCATAAGGCCCTTATGATCTACCAGTATGCCAAGCACGCAGCTGTGTAAAAAATATGGAATTTTTATGTATATGTCTATTACAAAAATGCATTATTTTAGTTAAAATGATAAGTGTGTGAATGTGTCTTGTCATGTCAGCTTTCTGGGCCAAGACAACTTCGAATCATATGGACACCAACACTGTCATGTGGGCACCAACACTACCATGTAACACTGCTGTTACGTATGTCTTCAAGTAGGTATTCTACAGAGTTTTGGAGCTCCTCTCTCATTCATGTATTCAGGGTATCACCCTTGGTGCAAACTATCTTTTTATCATATCATTATGCAACATATTATACCCCAATCTCTTTATAGCTAGAGAAGCCAATATTAAATCAGATTATTCTTGGTTTTGTGTTTGAGAATCAGAAATAGAAAGGTATGCAATTGGATTCCATTATTTTCCCTTTTTGATTAGAAGAAATAGAAACGTAAGCAATTAACGCACAATATCGGTTTTACATACTATCATTTAAGGAATGGCTAATTGCCATTTGGTTTCTAGTCCAGGAGTTTTTAACATATACATCTCTTCCTGATTTCCTTGTCTTATTGGGCAAACATAAGATCCAAACCGGAACCCTAAAGTGTAGAAGTAACAAGCTAATAGTCAATGACTGGCATGGGGAAATCCCACTTAGAATTTGGGCTCATATTTACTCTCTGTTCAACGCTAAGACCTATTTTGCATATCTTTCTCATAAAAAAGATAAGCGGACCACATAGGCCAGCCAAACCAAACAACTCGATAAAAATAAAGCCGCATTAGACCCAAAAGTAACGAATGAACTGGTCTCATCCAATACTCTATGTTCCAATACAAAACAGAGTTTTGCTAAACTTTTCAACAAACCAAAGTTCTTAAAGACCTCAATATAATTCATAAAAAAAACTAGAAAAAATCAGAGATAAGAAAAGATAAGCTTACGTGGGTGCATTTAGATCGTAGGTAAGAGGGATAAGAGTGCCTGTTGGAATCCCACCCATTGGCCCCCCAAATGGTAGCACAGGAACAGCATATATACCAGCACCACGGTTATTCTGATCCTGATTTGGGGGTGGAATTAAACCAGGTACAAAAGCAGGGTACATAATTGGAATCAACTGCACATCAGTATTGAGGGAACCCAATGAAGCCCAATTAGGAAAATTCACAAAGCCGTAGTTTGTGGGTGCCTGCAATAACAGATTTCAATCTTTATTGACTAAAAGGAAGAAAAAATACAGGAACAAGAAAATGAAGAAAAGATACCAAATGAATTAAAATAATGATCAGCACTTTTCACAAATAAAATCATTGTCAGATCATATTTCCTAGTATATAAAAAATAAGAAACCAACAAAAATTGGACACAACAGACTGATATTAAAACTAGGCCAATGAACAGACCCCCTTGTTCCACGCAACTTCAAGATGAAGAGTTGATTGTTATAACACACTGAAACTAAAGTAAATTCAATGAAGTAAGAACAGTTATAAGAGGCCAGCTGATATCAAATTGGAGAACTTCGTGGGACCCACTACTGTAAATTATTGCTAGATCAAACTCAAATGCTTTTAATACAAAGCAATAGAGAAAGGATTGATAAGAAAGAATACAAGTAGAGGAATCCAAATATACAGCATCCCATTACAAGAGACCAAATAAAAATTTGATTCACGGATATCGAAGGCAAGAAGTTTTTCTAAATACAAAAGAGCAAATAGGAAAGATACAAAGCCAGAGAGCAAAAACGAAATTATAAAGTCATAAACCCAAGGGTCGTAAATCAAAGTTATAGACCCTAAAATATGTACTTGCACAATTGAAACCCAAGACTTTCACAACAAAGAGATATCAAACAAGAAAAAGGAAAGAACAGGAATTTACAAAGAAAAAGTAGTGTGTGAAAAATCCAATTTATGGATAACAATCAATCATGACAATTTACAGAAAACCTAATCAAGAGACTAAATTAGAAAATAGCACAGTTAATGAAATCTAAATAAAAATAAATTCTTTTCAACAGAGAAAATGTGAATAAAACTAGATGATAATAGTAATATTAACAATAGAAACCAAAAGAACAAGAAAATAACAGCAAACTGCATAACAAGAGACAAGGGTTACTAGAGTATCAAACCGCATCAAGGGGATAAGAAAAAGAAAGAAGGGCATTAAATAACATGATACACAATACATTGTGGCCAAATTTAGGGCAATTTACAGAGAGATAGCCAATGCCAAACCACAACATCAAACCCTAACCTGTTTTACTATACAAACGCTATGGAGAATGCCAACAAAAAACCATTAAATCACATGAAAATTGAAAACTGAGTCCAATTAACGAACTAGGAATAGCGAGGAGAGGGTAAAACACAAACCGTCACACTTATAAAATAGGAAAATAGCAAGAACTCATCTTGTGACATGATTTAATAACAATTGATCACAAAAAATGTCTCCATATCAAATATATATATATATGAATTAATGAGAGAGCTAGGGATTTACTTACTTGGGCGGACTTCAAATGTTCAGTTTGAGAATTGGGTACTGATGAGGATTCTTCGGTTTGGGGATTTGTGACTGAACCCTCCGCCATTAGAGAGACAGAGAGAAATAGAGCCAAATTAACAGAGATGCACAAATCAATCTCAAAGCCAAAAAGAAATCCCAGGACACTGTTGACAACAGTGAGAGACAGTAAATACGGGTAAGATGAGAAAGAAAGGAACAACTGAGGTAGTTTATGGGCCGTGGAGAGAGATAAATATAGGGAATTTTCAGAGGGGAAAGTACAGTGCAAGACCATTTACGTTTGTACAAGGTAGGCAATCTTGACCATTGGATGGAAAATTGGGTAGCTATAGTTATTTAATTAATCAAATTTAAATTTTAAAAAAAATTTATCAAATTTTGTAACACATCCGAGCTATTCAATTTTACATCGGATAGTTGTAAATAATTGTAACCACTTTGATACGCAAATCATCTCACTTTATATATATATATATATATATATATATATATATAAATAAAATGATCAATGTGAGGCGCCGCCAAAATTTATCCAAGGATACAGTGCAATTTTATTAAGGGTGAGGTTGTATAAGGTTGCCTATAAAAATTATTTAGAGATGTCCTTTCGGTGTTGAAAACTTTATCATGGCTTCAATTTTTTTTTTTTTTTATTTATAAAATTAAATTTTTTTAAAATAGTACAATATCGAGCAGATCAAAAAATACTTTAAAATCTTTAAAATAGACGGTTTAGATAATTTATTACATGATGCACAACTTTTTAGACTTTAAATTCTTTTTTTTCTTCGTATCCATTCATCTCAAGGTCTAGATGATCAATTGGAGGGTTCTCCTACATTGGAACACTATCCACTGTATAATTTTACTTCAACAGTTTAAGGTTGCAACCTTATATAAATTTTTTCTTTTTATTAAAGCCTCATCTCATTATTTATTGGAAAATTATAATTTAAGTATAATAAAAAATTACATTAATCATCTCAGATTGAATATTATGACTGTGAAAAAACATTAGGATTTCAAACTCTAAATATAGTGTATATTATAACAAATTATCTATACTGTCGATTTCACCATAAAAATAAGTATTCATAGATCCACAAGATATATATTTTTTAAAAAAAATTTCAAATATTATTATGGGTGTTGGAAATTGATTTTGGAGCTATTATGGAGATTTTTGTTATCCAAAGTGCTTTTCAAACGAAGATTTGAGGCGAAACTTTATTTTGTTTTCATTAAGCCTAGCTTTATAGAACCTTCATCCAATTTTTTGTGGTAGCCTAAAAGTTAATTTATTCTTAAATATAAAAATTTAAAGTTTTAAAAATAGGGTAAATTGATTAGATCTAAACATTTGAAAATTTCAAAAAGACGATTTAGACACTATGTTGCAAAATACACTCTTTTAGGACTTCAATTTTTTTTTTTTTTGTGGATATAGTTAGAAGGGACTTATAGCCTCACTGCGGGTATGAACCTTAATAGAGTAGAATGGCGGACCAAAATTAATATAGTCATCCCTAATTAGTTGAGAAAAAGCTTTGATGATGACAATAACGATATCCTTCAATCTTGAGGTTTAGATAATCAATTATAAGTTTTTCGATGTTGTAACAACCTTTTAGAGTAAGATTTTTGATGTGCACCTTACTTCTCTAAAGCACAAAATCAACACCTCATATAAACTTTTTCCTTAAAGAGAGAGAAAGAGGATAAATAAAGTGTATATAAGGTTAACACCATATATTTAACAACTGAGGTGAACCTCAAAACTCCATTGGAAAAAGCTCATTTAATATTGGAAAACTATCTAAGTGATCATCTCAAGGACAAGATATATAGAAGTAGAAAAAAAAGAGATTTCAAGTATAAAAATTAATAAATCTTGCAACACATTATCTGGATAGTCTGTTTTCAAGAATTTCATGCATAAATAAATATACTTGATTTGAACTATTTTTAGAGTTTAAAATTTTATAATTAGAGATGAAAATAGATTCTTAAGCCACCTTAAGAATTTTCAATGCTAAATTTGCATCTTACAACAAAGTTTGGAAGTGCACTTCACTTTAATTATTTAAGTTTTGCAACTTTATGCAAACCACACCCATAAATAAAGGCTATTTAGAGAGGGAATAAGCTTATACGTGGGGCACCTAAAAATTTAATGGAATAGGTTGTTCAACCGTAGAAGACCCCCCTTAAATTGATCATCTCGACTTGGATATGATGGATTCGAAAAAAAAAAAGATTTCTAGTCGTAAACGTTGTGCATCTTGTAACACACTATTTGAACTATCTATTTTAAGACTTTCAAATGCTTATTGATATGCTTGTTCGACACTATATTTTGACCTATAGTATTTATAAGGGTGTGGTTTCTATATGATTGCAACCTTAAACAATCCATTTAATGTGCACCTCTAAATTTCATCATAACATATAATTTTAGTGAAAAAATTATCAGGATTATCTAAAATCTATTTTCATATCTAATTATAAAATTTTAAATTCCAAAAATGGTTAAAATCAACTAGATCTATTAACATATGAAAATCTTGAAAATGGACGGTCTAGATAAGGTGTTTCAAGATGCACTATTTCTAGGATACAAAATCATTTTGTTTTTCATATTCATACATCTCAATGTCGAGATGATCAATTACAGGGTTTTTGAACATGAAAACAACATTTTCTGATGGATTTTTGAGGTGTATCCTTATTTCTACAATTTAAGGTTGCAACATTATATAAACTTTTTCCTTTTTATAATTAAGGGTGGAAATGAATTTTCAAGCACTAAAATTGCATTTTCTTGCACTAAAATTGCATTTTCTTGCCATTTTAGGTTGGTCCTTAATGTTTTGATGTTTAAGTAGCCACCTTGAATAAAACACCAAATGTTTCCAAAGAAATATTATAGGCAATTTATGAAATAATGAAAACTATACATGCCGTTTATACTTTTCCAAAAAAAAAAATACAAGACAAATAAATTAGAAAATACAATCGCATGTTTTAAAATGTTTCCATGCTTTCCCTAGAAAATATTTTATATTTTCCTTAATTCAATAACTTGTGTGGAATTCCTCAAGGGAATGTCATGTGGACCTTATGCCCGTCCATGCCACTCAATTCTAACCCTAAGCCACTCAAGAGAGAGGCCTTTGATGTGAGTGGGTGCATAAATATTAAGGCTTCAAATTAGTTTGGATTCATCCTCAAAGCCATGAAGTACTTTACCAAATGGGTTGAAGTTGCCTCTTTCATGAAAATAGACGGGCAACATGTGGCCAAATTCATCAAGAGTGCCATCATTTACAAGTTGGATGTGGTAGAAGTAGGGTCTCATAAGGGTGAGAATCTTAAACTTTCTCTTAACCCATTCGAAGCCCAAGTAAAAGGATGGATTGCGTTAAATAGGCAGCCAACATAAAACATTACTACTTATTATCATGAATTCTGAACTTATATTGAATGGAAGAACATGATTCATATAGCTAACCCCATATCATTGAGATAAAATTTAGATGATGATGATGTGGTGGTAAAAGTAATAACTTCAAAAAATAAGAAAAGCTTAAAAAAATAAAAAAGTCGCCAACTATGCATACTATTCAATATCACTTACAAAAATTCCATATTTTTAGATTCATAACCGTGGGAGTCTAGGTTATCAAATGGTGAAGAAGTTGAGGTTATATGAAAAATTTAAGAACAAAACTTGAATTGGTCTATTTTTATTATGGGATAAATACAACCGTTTCACGGTTGACCTATTATTATGGGATAAACAGCTGTTTCACATTGACCTATTCTTTTGCATATTGTTGTATTATTTACTACTCTTTACTCTCCTCCCTGATTGTAAGGAATTTAATTTGTTAAACTGTATATATTATCCTTCCATTGAATGGAATGGAAAAATACACAACAAATTTTTCCCAAATCTCAATTTCTACATGGTATCAGAGCCAGGTTTCTAACAAATCATCTTTCATTTTCTCTCTGTTCAGCTTCTTCCTTGTAACATCTCTTTTTTTTCCATCATGCTTTCAACGGACTCCATCCCTCACACTGAAACCCCAACCGTTGAAACTCAAAATTTGGATAGTGCTTACTCCTCTCCATATTATCTTCATCATTCGGATAATCCAGGTATGTCCCTGGTCCCTCATCACCTCACTGGAGAGAACTACAACACATGGCGCAGAGCCATGTTCATGGCTTTATGGGAGAAGAACAAATACATCTTCGTTGATGGCTCTCTCCCCAAACCAACCTCTCCCGATTCAGATGTCAACGCCTGGCAACGTTGCAACTTCATGGTGCCGTCTTGACTTCTCAATGGTCTCTCTCGAACATTGGCCGATAGTGTTGCCTACACAGCCACTGCTCAAGCTGTCTGGATCGATCTTGAAGAACGGTTCTCGCATGATAATCCTCCTCTCATTTTTTTCTTAAAAAATCTCTTGCCACTCTCCAACAAGAACAACTCTCCGTTGTTGAATATTATACCAAACTCAAAATGTTTTGGGACGAACTCCTCTCTGATTCAAAAATTCCGTAATGGACTTGTGGTTCATCCAAAGCATTCATGACTTGCCAACATCAAGAGCAGGTCTGCCAGTTTTTGATGGGGTTGAATACGTCTTTCTCTCGGATTTGGACCCAAATTCTAGCCATGGACCTTTTGCCCAACTTCAATAAAGCCTACAACATGGTCCTTCAAGAAGAACAACAAAAACATTTGCTGCAACAAGCCCCAAACATGGCTGATGTGGTTGTTATGCAGTCAGCAAACCTGGCTTTTCTCAGTTCAAGTCACCCTCCACCATGCCCAAACCAGACCGCCGCCCCAAGGGGCGTCCGTTCTATGATCACTGCAACGTCCATGGCCATTGGAGATCAACTTGTTGGGAGATTCACGGCTACCCACCAAATCATCCCAAAGCCAAGCGTCAATCCAATGATAGGTACGGTTCCAAGGCCTACACCGCCACGCTGCTGCTGCTGCCATCCATGCCAATGTTGTTCCTCCTTCCCATGCTCTTGCTGTAAGTGACATTTCATAAGGCTCGGTTCCTTCATTGCCTCCTCTCAGCACTGCCCAATATCAGCAGTTATTGAGCTTCCTCAATATTGATGGTAATGGTTCCTCTGCAAATCTAGCGGATAACATTTCTTCAAATGTCATTTCCCCTTTCCCTACTACTTCT